ACAGCTATTAAACAATTATATGTCGTAATACTGCTATTAAACAAGTATATGTCGTAATACTGCTATTAAACAATTATATGTCGTAATACTGCTATTAAACAATTATATGTCGTATTACAGCTATTAAACAAGTATATGTCATAATACTGCTATTAAACAAGTATATGTCATAATACTGCTATTAAACAAGTATATGTCGTAATACTGCTATTAAACAAGTATATGTCGTAATACTGCTATTAAACAATTATATGTCGTAATACTGCTATTAAACAATTATATGTCGTATTACAGCTATTAAACAAGTATATGTCATAATACTGCTATTAAACAAGTATATGTCATAATACTGCTATTAAACAAGTATATGTCGTAATACTGATATTAAACAATTATATGTCGTAATACTGCTATTAAACAAATACTAGTATATGCCATAATATTGCTATTAAACAAGTATATGTCATAATATTGTTATTAAACAAGTATATGTCATAATACTGCTAAAAAACAAGTATATATCGAAATACTGCTATTAAACAAGTATGCGTCGTAATATTGTTGTTAAATAAGTATATGCCATAATACTGCTATTAAACAAGTATATGCCATAATATTGCTATTAAACAATTATATGTCATAATACTACTATTAAACAATTATATGTCGTAATACTGCTATTAAACAATTATATGTCATAATATTGCTATTAAACAAGTATATGTCATAATACTGCTATTAAACAAGTATATGTCATAATACTGCTATTAAACAAGTATATGTCATATTACTGCTATTAAACAAGTACATGTCGTAATACTGCTATTAAACAAATACTAGTATATGCCATAATATTGCTATTAAACAAGTATATGTCATAATATTGTTATTAAACAAGTATATGTCATAATACTGCTAAAAAACAAGTATATATCGTAATACTGCTATTAAACAAGTATGCGTCGTAATATTGTTATTAAACAAGTATATGTCATAATACTGCTATTAAACAAGTACATGTCATAATACTGCTATTAAACAATTATATGTCATAATACTACTATTAAACAAGTATGTCATAATACTGCTATTAAACAATTATGTCGTAATACTGCTATTAAACAATTATATGTCATAATATTGCTAAAAACAAGTATATGTCGTAATACTGCTATTAAAGAAGTATATGTCATAATATTGTTATTAAACAAGTATATGTCATAATACTGC